TCGAAGGTTGGCCCATCAGAGGGTTCACAACCGCTTTGGGTGCCTTTACAGTGAGGGGTGGATAGGGATGGGCTCGCTAGCGGCCAATACCTAGGCATCCCAGCCCACGTTCGAGTCTTAGTCGGTTCACAGTCCATGGTTTTTCCTTGAAGAAATGCAGCGAGCCCTTAGGACCGATCGAACGGACCCAAGAACTATATGGATTGGCCGCCAAGAATCTAGAGTCGGTCACCAGCTGACCCATGCTGGACCCGCACAAAAGGGAAGCCAGGGCCCTACTCGTACCATTCCGTTAACAGCTCATCGAGCACCATGATTTGTCTATCGAGGAAAACAAGGCACGACTCAGCCCCACCATTTTATCGAAAAATGCTTGAGGGAGGACGATCACAAGATGAGCTGACCCCTCAACCAGACCCCTGCTATGTGTGGGGGCTCGAGAGAAGTCGTACTCACAAGGAGACCGAATATGATGTCAGATGACGATGGTGGATCGAGCGGATCCTAGGGAGGGATCGAAATCTAGAGAAATCTTTTCCAGTCCCTCGAATCCCGAAGCTACATTTTCCCAAGGAGTCCGATCACAACAGAAGGGAATCACAACCCACCAAGGCATCCCGCGGGCAGTAGAAGATCCAAGCCCTCGAAGTCCATCCATCCAAAAAAGCCTATGAAGGAGTATCCTACTCCTCTACAGGCTTAGGGGCTACTATCGGGTATCAATATTAGGGATATCCAAAGAAGGGATCTGAGGACCACGGATGACAACTCACCTAGATAATCAGAGACGTATTTCAGTCTCAACCGACCCTGAAGGGACGGTCTTTGTCTTGCCTAACCCGGAAGGGACAATCTTTGTCTCGCCCGACCCCTTGGGCACAGGACCCGTGCCGCCCGACCCTGAGGGTATGGGAGCCATCTCACCCGACCTTGAGGGCACAGGCCCCATCTCGCCCGACCCTGAGGGCACAGGCCCCGTGTCGCCTGACCCCAAGGGTACGAGAGCTGTCTCGCCTGACCCTGAGGGCACGGGCTCCGTCTCGCCTGACCCCTCGGGCACGGGCCTCGTGTCGCCCGACCCCAAGGGTGTGGGAGCCGTCTCGCTCGACCCCTGGGGCGCGAGCTCTGCCTCACCCGACGAGGACCCGTACCGCCTCCAACCACTATGGGTCTAAGGGTACGAGCCCGGGGTCAAACTTCTGACACTGGAAGGGAAGTGGGCACGTCTCGATGTGACCTAAGGCCACATCAGGCCACGGCTAGGGGTTCACATCGCCAACAGTCATGTGTGCGTGGTCGCTGTTCTGCCTACTCCCTGTACGGGTGCTGACAGACACATCGGTTCACCATGCCGTCCGCCGGGATAGATGGGATGCCATGACCAGCTGATTACGTTGAGGCATGGCACCAGTGGTGAACATGAGCCCGGCGTGGACCCGTCCCCGTTACCATCTACATCGTTGGTGGGACCCGTATGAAGGAGAAAACGACCTCGCGGCCCTAGAGGCCTTCTCCTCCCTCGCTTTTCCCCTTCTCTCTCTCTGTAACCTGCGCCTTCCCCTTCACCTATAAAAGGGGAAGCAGGACGTCCCAAGAGGGGGGCGAACGAACACATGGCTGAACAAGCTCAACAAGACTCAACTCCATTCGATCTTTTCACCAGAGACTTGGGAACTTCTCCCTCTCTCGCTCGTTTGTAACCCCTACTACAAACTAATGTCGGTAACACGAGCAGCAGCAGACTGGACGTAGGGACATTCTGCTCGAACTAGTATAAATCCTTGTGTCCTCTGAGCACACCATCCGGGCCAGACACGCAGATACAAATTTACTAGCCGGTGATCTGAAACACCAACAATGTTACACTAAGTGTCAAATTAGATTAGTTTTAAGTAATCAGTGAGTAATTAGATCTAACTTAGGGTTAAGGTTTTTGCAGTTAATTGAGATTAAGTTTTTTCTTGAAATCAGAGGTGTTTTTCACCGAATGAAACCGAGTTAAGCACTTACAAGAAGGTGATTTGGGCAAAACCCGATTAAAGTCTCAAAGATCCCCATTTTATTTTTCCCCAAAATCAAGAACCATAAACCCTAAGATTAAGCATCGGGCATTGAGATTGAGACAAAGATTGCACCTGTGTTGTTCGTACCCATTTTCAGATCGGGTCGCCGCTGCAGAATATGCTACCCCGCAACTACGCGCGAGCGGACGGTTTCGTACCCGGCTCCTTAGGCCTGGTCGCCACCGCCACCGCTGGATCGCGCGGGCCTACCGCCATTGCGTATGTGCCCTTAGGGCTGCCGTAGCCGCGCAGATGACGGCTGGCTGCGTTGTGTGGGCCGCCGCCGTGCGGGCCGTAAGGAGCCGCCGCCGCCGTCGTGAGCTTGAGCACCTGACAGGGCCCGCTAGACGAAGCCACGCGTAGGCTATTGCCATGCCCGTGTGCCGCCTAGGAGGACAGCCGGTGCCAACGCGTCGTGCAGTCGTCTCCCTCCCTCTGTGCTGCTATGCGGCTGAAGCAAGGGGAGAGAAAGTGAGGAATGCGGCTAGGGTTTGTTTAGAGTGGCTTAAGTATGTATCGTTGTTTGCCTTTGGGATCTCCCAGCCGCTGATCTATATATCCAACGGATCACTTGTCTTGCGGGGAATGAGAATGGGCCGTTAGCCAGCCTGTTGATGTATAGGCGAGCGTGAAATGGGCCGACAGATGAGCACGTGATGGCTGGCCGTCACTCCGACAGTTAGGCTAATTCAATGTACCGGCCCAATTGAGTTTCATTATGAGCATGTAGGCCTACACCATTAAGTTTATTTCCCAAAATAATTATGTTTATTCCCCACTACTAATACGTTCAGATTTTAGTTTTATAAGTTTTGGAGTAACTTAAGTAAGCGTGGAATATTTTTTCTAAGAATTTAAGCTTGACATGTTAATACTTCTAAGCAACTTAACTATTGTTTGCTCACTAAGATTTATGAGTTTTCCTGTGTGTTCACTGAGTAATTATGGATATTAGGGTTTTTGGCCAGGTATTTATACCCATGATCTTTTATCTGGATAAATCCTAACCGTTCGTCGAGTTCAATAAGATCATCCCAGCTACTAAGTTTTTCCTAAGGGGGGCATTGATTTGAATTTTTTAAGGGGAGAACTAGCTAGGCCGACTCGGCCATGAGTAGACGGTGCTCTGGCACAGTACTTTTGGGCTACTGTTAGGCCTATTCGTCAAAGGCCAAACTAAAATTTATTTTTTAAAATAAGTTTCCTTTGCTATTCAATATAAGTGTAGTATTTAAGTGTTTAATTAAGTATTAGGCTTTTAATGCCCTCATTATGTTTATTTTTTAGCTTAAGTTTATTCCCAACAACTTAGATATTGATTTATTGATTTAAGTTTATAAATTAAGTTTGTTGCTATATATTCCCATCTCAAATAAGATTTAATTATGCCCTTCTATGATAATTTTTAAGTTAAATTTAAGTATCTTTTGGGAATATGTTGCTGAGAATATTTAAGTTTAATAAATTTTTCTTTAGTGGAATTTACTCGGTTAATTTTTTATCCCCTTTTTGAATAAGTTCTAAGTCTCAGTTTTAGCTTCAGTTCCAGTATTAATTTATGTTTTCAAGAGCACTTTATGCCGTAAGATTAAGTTTTGCTTAAGTTTGCATTCAATTATAAATATTTATATATACATATATATATATATCTACCACCGTATAATAAGATGATCTCTGGTTAAATAGAACCAACGAGAAGTTTAATTGTAAATTACTCATAATTAATTTCTAACCAACGTTGACTTTAATTATGAGTTATTAAGATGGATTTTGTTTTGTTTTTGTCCAATGGTGATGCAAACTAAAGTTCTTAAGCATGTTGTTAATTCTGACTATCGTTGATTTAATTGCATGCTTTAAGTACATCTTATATGCAGCTTACTAATTGAGACATTATTTTGCTTCAAAATTTTTAGTAAATTATGCATACCATATAAGTAAAATATAACCCCAAAGTTGCATTAATTTTTCTACTTGGAATAATCAGGTTCATGCCATTCTCAAGGAGCTAGACCTTGATTATGCGCTTAATGAGAAAAAACCACATGCTTCTTCTCCTATTTATGAGTACTCCGCTGAGAGGGTGAAGGAGTACATCCCAAAATTAAAAAAAATGGGAGAAATCCAACAACGTTGCTAAAATGATAATAACATGCTCACTCTCAGTTAACATGATGAGGAGATTTCTTTCTAATGAAAACAACATCAAGGGATTAAGTGCTAAGGAGCTTCACAACTCCATTAAAACATACTTTAGAAAGGTTTTCCTCTTTGATAAGTTACTTAATTCCCGTTATGATGGGATAAGTGGTACGGGTAATCACGTTAAAAGCTTGTTTGATATGGCTTATGAGTTGAAGGCACTTAGATTAGATGTGTCCAATGAGTTTATGGTAAATTGCCTTATGAATTGATAAGTTTCCAATAGTCTGCAAATTTTGCAAGTTACCAAATTGATGATAAGTATAAGAATGGCTACGAAAGATAGGTAACTTAAGTTGTCTCATAAGTTTTACTTAAGATATTTTCCCAACATATGGTGGATTAACTAAGGTGCAATAATGCATATCTTAACTTCTCCTCAGGTCTTGCCAAACCAGGGGAGCAAAGTTTAAGGAACCATTGATGGAATAAAGATGAAGTCGAGCCTTGGAGCTTCGCATTAGATTAGTTTTAAACTTAGTTCTTAATGATGTTTATTGGGTTCGTCTAATTTTAGCCCCTCAACTATTGGCTTCGTCTAATTTTGACCCTCAACTACAAAACCGTCTAATGTTGGTACCTCAACTATCAAAATTGTTCACTTTTAGCACCCGGGCACGAGCGGGGTTGTTTTGACCAACGTGGATCGGGTTTGACCACGCCACGTTGGCGCTGACAGCCACGTAGGACATCTGCCTCCATCTCAGTGACATGTGGGGCCCATGCGTCAACCACTCAACCCCTTCCTCTCCTTCCTCTAGCTCTGGCACTGACAGGGACCCCGCCCAATCGGACCATCTTGGCACGAGTGCACCACGTCGCCGTAATGGCCGCCAGGCACGTCAGCCCTGCCACCACAGCCTTCCTGTCTAGGTCGTCGCCCCTCTTCTCGTCGTCCATAGGGCACACAAGGCGGGTTAGCTCACCGACCAGCTCCTCGGACTCCCCCATCGCCGCCCGCGCGCCTGGGACCACAGCCATATTGCGAAGCAGCGACTCCACCAGCCTCGCCGCAGCCACCCGCGTCTCCAGCGAGGTCCTACTCCGCCGCACACATGCCACGGACGCGGCCATGAACGGCGTGTCGGCAGTGAGCGCCGTGGCCACGCGCCTCTTGCTCTGCTCCTCGATGCAACCAGAAACTGTGATTGTCGCCAGCACCCACACGACGGCCTCCCTGTCCACGCTCCGTTGCACGGACGCCACGGTCTCCACGGCGCCACTTGCCCGAGCCGCGGTCCCAGTCAGCGTCGGAGCTGGAGGATGGAGAGAGATGGGATGAATGGGGACGCGTGGGCCCCACATGTCACTAAGATGGAGGTTGGCGTCCTATGTGGCGGTCAACGCCAGCGTGGCATGGTCAAACCTGCTCCAGGTTGGACAAAACAACCTCGCTCGTGCCCAGGTGCTAAAAGTGAACGGTTTTGACAGTTGAGGTACCAACATTAAACGGTTTTGTAGTTGAGGGTCTAAATTAGACGAACCCAATAGTTGAGAGGCTAAAAGTGGACTTAATCCTTTAGTATGAGATACTTTGTATTCTGAACAAATGTTCTTGAGTTTGGAGTTTTTGAATACATCAAATTCATTCCATCATGATTTATCTTATTAATTGGCAAAGAGATTTTTTCCTGTAATACGAGTTTTCTTTATATCAGTTTTATATTTAAGTTAATTATTAGTCAAGATGATGAGATCTTGTTGAAATTGTGTCACTGTTGTTTAAGCCACATTTTGAAGGGGAGAATGGACTGTCTCATCAGAAAAGAGATGCTCTATTCACATAAGATTATAAAGCATGTGACTTGAGAAATAAAAGAAAAATTATACTAATTTTGTCCGTCAGCCCAACATTAGTCTCTAATTAAAGTATGACTTGCTTTCACTATTTCTGGCTAAAGCTGATTAGTGTTTGCATGTTCACCAAGTTTCTTATTCTAGTTATTCTGGCCAACACTGATTAGACTAGGTCATAGAGCTTGTTTTTGGAGACTTATATGCCTTATGTTTGTCATTCTGGCCAACGCTGATTGATGAATATTTGACCATAAAAGTTTTACTAGGCAAAACCTCAGCAAAACATAAGTATAGTCTAGCTAAGGATAAGAAATGAGATTCTAAGTAAATGAGCTGTCCACATGGCATCCTGATTATGTTCCTAGAGAACACAGAAATCAGTGGGAGCAAAGTCCAAGGGCTTGCGTTTCTACTGTTATAATTGTTTCACTAAGTTGTTAAGATATGATGTGTTCCTAGAGAATGCAAAAATCAGTGAGAGTTAGTGGGAGTTCACAAAGGAGAAAGATTAAATATTGGAGAGATATAATTTTCTGTATCAATGACTCAAGAAGACATAAATATCTCAGTTTGTGCCATAAGTCATTAGTATACCGCCATTTAAATTATTATAGTTTCTATTGTGGATTTTTAAGAGTCAATTAGTCAGCCACAACAGATATATGTAGCAACCATTAGTTGATAAGTAGGCACATAAGTAAACCTCTATTGTTATTAATCTGTTTGTGATCCATGATAAATTTATAAGATGATTACATAAGAAGAGGAATTTTGTTATTCTAAACTAAGTAATTTTATGAGTTTAGGTCTATAAGTATATATAAAGTGTGGGTGTTAATAAGTTTTCTGATGAAGTCAAACCAGTAGGCTATAAAAGGGTCTACAATTCTAAGCGTGACTTCAAAGGGAGTTTTAAAAGATTTAAATTAAGAACATAGCCCATTATGATTTAGAATTTCTTTAAGTGGACAATTATGTTTATAAAAAAGGTGGAAAAGTTTATTGTCCTAATACTCTATATAGGTGAAGTTGAGTTACGTGGCAATAGGAATGTCACATAAGAATTTTCTTCTCACCAAATTTTTTAATATGATATATTTTGGTAAAGCCTCTGAGTTTTTTGCTATTGAAATACACCAATACAGGACCAATTGAATACTAGAACTATCACAAAAGACATATCAAATGAATGCTTAACTGATAGAGTTTGAATAAGTAATGCCACGCCTATCTATTTGCATAGTGCAATTGCACAACGCAGTAAGATTAATTATCCCAAATAATTTTAAGAATAAGTTAGTAATAGTTGAAGAGAAAGACGTTCCATATGCTTCGGCTGTCATTAACTGTAAGAATGCTCAAGTCAATACTAGTCTAGACTTGGTATCGAGATACTTGACAAAAATATTAGTTTATTAATTCAGAATAGGTCCACTGAAAGGTGCTAAAGAATTTTAAGTTATTGACGAGGCACCAAAAGAATCATCATGTCACTTGTAAGAATTAAGAATTAGTCGATTGCCAATTCTCTTGAGTATGTATAAGAAAATGCAAAATTAGATTATACCTACTCTTGAAGAAAAAGGACAGTTTTATTGAAAACTTCAAATATAATTAGTTTTCAAGGTGAGCTCAATTAGTGGAATGAATACGACAGGCCATGTGGCTTAAGAGATATTATCCTAAAAAATGAGTATTAACATACTGCTACAGGTCTACAATTGAGTTGCAGTATTATTTGAAGTAACGACACATCAAATGCAGATGCCAAGCACATTGATTAAATGTTGTGAAAGAAAGAACCCAGGATCAAATTATGAAACTTGGGAAAAATAAGAACTAAGCTGATGCTAGCATATTTGATTATTTGAGCTTAACACTTATCCCATTTATGAGCGCGCAAATCAATTTGGGTTTTAGTGCAGAGTCTCTAACTTGATTCCTAGTAATAGGGCCATATACTCCCAATAAGTAATATGCATTCTAACAAGGTATTACAATGAACTATGGTTAATGGGGTCTCAGTGACGATTAATACTGTTGACAACGCATTGGTCTGGTCGTGCTGTAGTACTGAGTGTGAACATAAGTGTAAGGAAAACATTAGTTGTATAATTGCATTAGCCGTTCGATCAAGTGGGAGAATGTTGGAATGTGATCAGTTCGACTAATCCCGAACTTAATTACAAGATTAATTAATCGTTAAGTTTTTTAATGTCTACCCACTCGTCATTAATATCCAACTAAATAAGAACTGTCGTGATCGGTGGCAACCCTTAGAATTCTAAGGGTTCGGCCCCTAGCCTACAGCGCGATTATAAATAAGAGAAGCGCCCCTAACGTTATTATTCTCTCTAATCCATGTGACTATTCACATCACTGGTCAATTAGGCGCTAGAGGGTCTAAGAAGGCCGTCTACCTACGTCCAGGTATTGTTGCAGATCTACATCGCATTCTTCACCGACTAGGAGCATCAGGCCCCAAATCTGGTGAAGACTAAGATCTAGTTTATCTACATCAACTTCTACAACAAGCACAGAGGCATAGATGACATCTACGGACTTTGGTTAGTCACTAAAATCTATTCCGTATAAGTTTGAGTTAGTAATTATGCTTAGGCTAAGATTAAGATCATGTTATGTCTAAGTTTTATTTCAACATCCACTTCTCCTTATCTTTCAGCATGTTCGTTTCGGCTGAAACGATCATGAATTATAAGCCAGAAATACTGCTGCCTGATTTGGTGTGAAAGAAAAATACTGTTGTAGCTTATAATCCACGATCGAATAAGCTGAAATGAACAGGCTGCTTGTTGGCTGGTGCAGCGAGTAGCAGAGTGGAGTACAAATCCAAACGCAGGCATGCACCGAGATCGTTGTTGGTGGTTGGTGGCTGGGGAGGAGGGCGGCAACGCCAACGCCGATCAGGATATGTGGATAATAACGTTAGCCTGTTCAGTTGGTTGGTTTATATTGTTGCTGGTTCGTGAAAAAATACTGCTAGTTGGTTTGTGTGAGAGAAAAATACTGTTTTGACTAAAAATTTACGATAATTTACGATAAGGCACAGCCAAACGACCGCCGTGGTGACAAGACATGCTCGGTGACCGGTAGCTCCTGATGCCGCGAAATGGGAGTGGCCGCAGCGGCCGCGTTTTAGCAACGGGCAGGAGGTCATTGCGACGCCGTGGTGGTGTCCCTGGCTAATGGAGGCGCTCACGGGCCAATTCGCATTTCAGATGGCCGGGGCGTCATTGATTCATCTCATCTCAAATCAAACAAAAATTAAAGAGAGCTCGGCCTAACTGCTGAGAGCAACGGGTGCGCTATGGTATGGACCTCAGTGAGCTGACAGTGACCGCGGACCTAATTACTTTCCGGCTTTCCACGAGTTTCCCCGTCCTTGGTACTGGCAGGCAAATGGGTAATCTGGCTTTTGACCATGCACGGAGCCAGCGGTGGGGCTACCCATTCTGGGCATGTGGAGTCCCCTTAACTCCTCCCTTAAAATTTTATGTATATATATGTATTAGGTAGGAGGAGTTAAGATTAAGAGAAGATAAAAAAGTCTCCATTCTTTTGTTCAGCCTCTCCTAAATTTTTTTCTGACTTCGTCCCTGCTTTTGACGAGGGGGGACATGAGCTGAGCAGCTGATGTCGTTGAGCCCAGGCCAAGTTTTACTTTTTGTGGATAATGTAGTAGCTAAAGTATCTGCCCGATGCCGATGCGGGTTGTTAAATTAGCGCCAATAATAATGCGCACTTACTCCTGCAGCTGCAGCTACAGCTAGCGGGGCATGTGGCGTTGCCGCATCGCCCCGGCATTAGTTTTACCATTTGTAGCCGAGATCGGTGTCTACCCTCATACAACTATTACAAGCAACAAAAAGCGCTTTACTTTCCGAAAGATTTCTTGTCTGCGCTCGCATACACAGCATGACCGAGGAATATATAGGATTCCTTGTAGTTGTAGGTGCATGGGACAACTAGGATCCGTAGCATGGGATAACTAGGATCCGTAGATATCTAGTATGTTCGCTTAAGCAGCAGTCGCTGTTTTGCTGTGCGATGGATCGGATGGATCCATGTGAAGCTGTTTTTATTTACTGTTGGTTGATTTGACGTAAGGAAAAAAATATTTTAGCTTATAATCCACGATCGTATACGAACAAGCGAATACGCTTATGCCTAAGGGTGATACGCTGTTGTGAGTTTGTGACCGGTACTGCTACAAATGCAGTGATGCGTCGTCGCTGATGGATTCCAGGTCGGACGTCCGATAGATATCGACTGTGGACGGCTGCTAGGGATAGCGATCGGATCCACGGCTGTGAATACCCGCAGGTTTCGTACCCACAGATATCTACGGATCAGGTATCAGAATTGAGATAGGTATCCGAATCGGAACAGATGAGCGATGGGAGTAGCTAGTACTTACGGACAACTGATCACGGCACGGCATTCCTTTGCTTTTGTTTATGAAACTAACAGGCTCCATCCGTTTCAAA